GCACACGTCTGTTCGAAATGAATATCGAGGAGGAACGGCAAGCAAGCAAGCAACCGGTGTACACTATGAATTCACGTAAGTAAAAGCACGCGTGTTCGAGTCACGAGAAGTAGCGGGGCTGGCTTCCCATTAAGTGCACGAAAAAGTCCCGGCATCGAGAATTCGTTCATGGATGTTAATTGCGTATTTTGCGCGTACCTATGTTTCAACGTTTCGTTTCGACTCGGTTTCTTTTCTTTTTCAGAGCGCAATTATCGCTGGAGTAATAACCCTTCGCGCAGAAGTGACGTTCTTTATTATATTCTTTCTTTCCCGCGATTAACCGAATCGACTCTGTCAGGAGAAGAAAAAGAAAAGAGACAGCAAAAGGAGGAGATCCTTGTTTCGAGTGTGTTTCGAGCAAATGCAAATTATTCACCTGGTTGCCGTTATTCCGTTCTGAAATTACCGCCTTACAATTCGGCAAATTCGAAAGCGATAATATAAAGGAATCGGGCTGAAACCCAGAAAACGTATTCCACCTTCTCCTCTCCTTATTTCTGCGATTGTTAAGCTAACGGGATGAAAGGAGAAATGTGTTACGTACATACGTTTCGAGTTATTTTCTCCGGTTTAGTGTTGAAAGGAGGAACGATACGGGTATGAAGAGTATGAATATTTATACGTTTTTCATTGTCTAGGGTTTAGCTATCCCATTAGGCAATTATTTTCTCGTTTAGGTCTGCGCGAGGTGCTTGAAATAATTAGAGGATCGAATGATATTATCGTTTAATTATGCATGCATTGCTATCCATCTCGTGAATTCTAACGTTTTGCAAGTTACACATACACTACCGGCCAAAAGTTTCGAATCACCTCCCACTTTTCATCAATATTAAATCTGCTGCTAATTTTTTATAGATTTGAAGTTTATCTCAATTCTACTTTTATCAATTCGTCTCATATCAATTGATTCGAACGATAAAAACTTCTCAAAGTCGCTAACTTTTTTCTGGAAATTTTTGTGTAAATTGCAACGCTCAGTGATTCCAAACTTTTGGCCGGTAGTGTACATAGCAAAATACATTTCTAGTATTTGATCATATTATGTAAACAGGATAATATTTTGAGAAAATAATAACAAGCACTTAATACGATTATTTTCTTTCATTAAGGGGGTATTCTTCATTAGAATCGTCGTTTTTATTTAAACGAACTCTCGCGAGCAACCGTAGTTTCAATTTTCCAAACGAGCTCACCAAAGTCGCCTGTTTAATAATCGAGCCACCTAAGCGTGATACATTCCCCGTCCACTTCATTTCCAAGAGTATCTGCAACGTCAACGATGAAACGGCTCTCCGAGGGATCCATCGAGCGATTCCTCGAGCTCGGCGCTATCATCCGGACCGAAAGGTCGAATTAACTAACGCGTCTCGTTAGCGGAAACGGTCGTTAGATAAAAGGCAACGGTTCGTTGCTCGGGACTGGTTCCGAGTAGCGCATTACCTTTCAACGGTGCCACGGCAGTCCGCGTGAAAAAGCGAGAAAAACGAGAGGCGAGGGTTTATCGAGCGAGTTCGGAGGAACGTGAAGACTTCAACTTGTCTGCACGCCATTAAAATGTCATAGCTGCGACCGTGCGCGCATACATACGTACGTGTACGCACACATACTTCACACACGAGAAGCGCATATACAGCTAAGATGTGTGCGTGTGTATATATACACGTGCCTCTTCGTCGATTCAACTCTGACTGATCGTGACGACGGGCACGATTGAATAATTTCCACGGTGCAATTCATAATTGATATCGACTATGCGGCCTAGCCATCGTTCGCGTCGCGAGTCGTCGTCCTAACGAAGTCGAGCCACCTACTACATAAGTACGCTCGGCGAGCTACTGGTCTAAAGATACACCAGCCCAATTAGGAGAAACTCATGTCTCCGATTGGAGACGCGAATTCCCAGAAATTCGACTCTCTGTGCCTGGCTGCATTTTCGACACTCGAAAACCGGAATTAATAATGCTCGACGATTTTTCTGATTGCTTCAATTAGAATCTGGATACCCGAGAGTATCCATTGACTGGATGCGCGAGAGTATTAAGGCGGGTATGTATGTATGCGTAACGTAGAAAATAGATCGGACGAGACAGTTGCAGAAATTTCCCGATCGTTTCAAAACGTAAAAATTGTCAAACCGGTCGAAAGGTGTAGTAGTAGCTTGTAATTTCTTGTAGAAATAATTCAAATTACGATCGGTTAAAATATTTTCAAGGGTTAATCTTTTCGTTTACCCAAGTTTTATTGAGAGTGATCACTCGTTTGCGAAGAGCGTACACATACGCCCGTCTAATACGTACAATTTATTCATTTATTTTCCCATTTCAGAAAGTCTTGATTGCATTATCGCGAAACACTTGATTTTCCATCATACTTATCTTTATTTTTAAAGCAAGCGTTGAACAATGGACTGTTTTGTCCAGTAAAGCACTTTTTATCTCAAGCGTGTCGTTAAAGACTATTTTAAATATACAGGAATGTTGTCCAGAAGACTTTACAGGCAAAATTAGAATATTTAACTAAATGTGTTTCTCTGAAAATGCATTGTCCTTTTCTTCATTTCATTAAAGCTTCGTTCAACATAAATATGTTAATATGGAAATAGTTATATGTTAATTAAACAACAGTGCAATTGTTTAAGATTTTCTATAAAAAATAACTCCTTCAGGATTTCTGTGTTAATCGTTGGTAATACCAGCGTTAATACGAAGAGAAATATTTCGTGTTTCCTGCCTGGGCGATTGGTGAAGCGTGTAACTCGCGCGCGTAGTTTATTTTATGCGGAGAGATTGAAAACGAAAATATATATACCCGGTGAGATAACGCAGGCAGCTGCTGTTTTAGCCATTTTCAACTAATTAGTAGGCAGTTCTCAGATGAATTTTATATTCGTTTTTATGCATTGTATTTTTGTGTCGCTTTAGTTATTCGGAAAGTAGTTTGGTCGTTATTTAAATAGAATCAGATATAAAGCACCTCGATCGTCTACAGAGTAAGATCCTGAGTGATAGCTAAATAAAATTAGAAACAGCAGAAAGACGTTCGTTTCTATTTTCAAAGGAATATCAAAATAGAAGAAAGGGGACTACTTTGAAGGATATCCATGAGAACCTGAAATAGAACATATCATTTAATCTTTCATGCTTCCTTTTTGTCGTTTGGTTCCTCGCGGAACGAATGTAACTTTTCTTTTATCGTAAGCAGTAAAAGTATCGATGTAAGGAAACAATTAAAGTATGAAAAAAATTAACAAAAAATGGGATAACGTTGTCATTTTTCCAATTTATCGATCGTGAAATCACAATCCACAAGATTAACGTTAGAACGAACCTAAGCGTTCCTTTTTCCGAATGACGTGGGAATTGTCATTGCACGCATTAACATCTCCATTAGTTCCCCGTCTACGATCACCGAGCACCGAGTAGAAACCACAATTCGCTCTGAGCAAAGTCGTTTCTCTTTTGCATCAAGATACGAATGGCTCGAGTAACTAGAGAATATAATAATGCGATTGTTACAGCGAAAAAATGCGGTTGATGAAGAAGAATCAAGGGCTACGCGACGAAAAGAGAAGGAGGGAACATCTGAGTTTTGCGGCGCTGAAAATGACGTTCCACGCGTTTACCCGATTTGTGATAATGGCCCACAATTTCCTGCCTACTGTAACGTCGAAATTTAATAACAATCATCAGCGTTACAAGGACATTTGACAAAGGGGCCATGTCCACCGCAAATTAAATTCAGAATCGACAATTGTAACGGGCTACAAGGTAAAAATGGTATTTAAAGTCGTGAATTAAACGAACACCACTTCGAGAAGAATTATAGTGTTCGATTTGGCACCATTTATCAAATGAATTTAGATTTAATCTCGTCCGTGACATGTTTCCACTTTTAGACCTTTTTCTTCGAAAATAAATCTACGTTTCGCACGAAATACTCCTTGTACATGTAAAAGATGTTGCATATATTATAAATGGTGGCGTGTTTTAATTTAGATATCCGAGTATGAGAAACGTTGATGGAATATTCATATTAATACGAGGCATTAATATTTGTGTAAAATAGAATTTAACAGTGAAGTTCCCTAAACTTTAATTACTCGCTTTATGGACTGTTACCACTTTTCGTGTTTATATTGGGAGAGTAGTAAAAATATTCAGCTTCCGTCGTTGAAGCAGAGCTAACTCTTCCACTATTTCAAATTAATTGACTGATAATACACTAAAATACGCGGGTAAAAGGGAAAAAAGGAAATCATTCGTTTTGAGTACAGATTTGTAATTTGATTACTTTAAAGGTTTAGCATAATTTGTTTACACTTGGTGAATAATCTTGCTAAGAAATGTCAATAACGATGATTTGAGCGTGTTTTAAGTAACTTTCAAACTAGCCTTAATAAATTGAAAGCAAAAGATAATACTTTATATTGTATCGAATGTTTTTGAGAAATGGAAACCTGAAATTATATTAAGAACAAAATGACACAAATTTTCGTTTATTATCGAAGAGAAAAGAGGGAGAAAACGAAATGTTACATAGAAAACTTCAATGAAACAATGTATCAAAGCAATTACAATACGTGGAAATACAACAAAATATTAATAAAATGTTAGTTCAAGTCTTCTACCAACCAAACAGATTTCCCAACTATTATTGCATTTCCTCCTTCTTCTCATTTTGATAATAAATAAACATCTCTGTTATTCTGTTATAATTTCCGTTAAACTAAGAGCCGTCTTAACAACATATAATAACAAGTTACAGTTACCTGAAATATGAACGTTTTTACTTATTTTCCCAATACTGTGTCCGTTCGGAAACATTTTGCCAATGGTTGTACCGCCGATTTAACGCAACGATGTAACACGACATTTCCACTAATCCCCAAAGATCCCATCGGAAACCCTAAATCTCTCGCGATGTCAAACGTGTTAGCGTCTCAGTGGTCCCCTTACCTGCCAGCCTATCCTTGAGGTGTGGGTGTCCCTGGAGTGGATGTGCGGCCAGGTTCGCCAACAAGCTCGCTCTGTGAAGACCGGCCGCCGCCGCCTGTTGTTGACTGTGCTGAAGAGCTTGTAAACTCCAAGGTGGTATCAACGTTTGCGCCGGCAGTGCACCCGTTGTCGTGCCATTAGCACCGGGTGGTCGATGCGCAGGAACTCTTATTACACCTCCGCCGGTGTAAATCAGGCCGGATCCAGTTGGGAAAAGTCGAAACGGCGCCAATAGATCCGCCGTACTCGTGCAATGAATCGACGACGAGGAATTCGTTTGTGTTTCCGGTGTACTTCCGGTGTCGTCGTCGTCTTTTTCGGACAATTTCTCCTCTATCTCGTGGCCCCAAGATCTTCTGCCATCTTCCAGGGTCATCGACGAGCCACCATTATTGTTACCCTCTTCCCAAGACCATTTCCTCTCCTTGTCGCTGTCCAAATCTTCCGACGATGGACTTTTCGGGTTCTGCGAACGGTTTTCACCCAACAAACGACTTATACTGAACGGATGACTCCTGGGTGATTCGTTCTGCAGAGTCCTGGAGGTGGTCTGACTCGGTGGCGGGGAATTCGAGCACTCAGAATGGTCCAACCGACGACTGACGTTCGCGTAGTTCCGAGGACTGCAACTTCCGGAGTCCGAGTCGTCCACGTTGATCTCCTCCGTCGCGTCCACGTCGCTGTCGCCCTGAACCGACATGATCCCTTCGATTGCTGTCTTCACAGTCGATCGTGATCCTTTCAGGTTGTTTCGTGACTACTTGGATTAGTTTTGTTCATCGGAAGTCGTTTCGAGTACTCATCCTGTGCCTCTCTCACTTTCTTACTAGTGTTGGACGTTTACTCTGATGATACAGCTTTCAATTGAGTGTTTCAATTTTTTGTCAGAAGAATACCGTGTATTTTATTGAAATTTTCACTGTGTAGGTTTAAATTTGTTGTTAAAAATTTTCATCCAACATTCAAGCCACTGTGTTCTCCTATCTGCCAGACGGCCATGTTGTTCGCGAACGTACGATACAAATGCCCCGAATTACACGTTGTTCCTCGGAAATCTCACTGGCAGGACACTGGCAACGCTCAACTGTTTTCATTCACAAGTTAAATGAACCGCGCACAAAGTCACATCTGCGGTCCGTCGAGTACACTTTCGGCTACTGTTTATATCACTTCTTCACTACGGTAACGGAAGTAAATATATACAATCCAACTTGTCGTTTGAGAATCTTTCGAAGAAGCAAAAAGATCACGAGACCAGTTCCATCAAAATAGACATATTCAGGACCGCCTGGACATTTGATCTTCGGTATCCCCGTCCATGAGAAGTCGCGTCGTCAACAGGTCGCAGAAGCGAAAGGTCGAGAAAGGGCCAGAGATCGATCGGTCGATTTACAGGCGAACGAAAGGCGCGAAGGTACACTTGGACGGAGAGATAGAACGATGAGGAGCAGCTCACGTGGTATTCGAAAGGGCTGTGTTTTCCGTACGGAACTCGACCCGTGGTGAGTTGGGACGTGAATCCAGGTCGGTCGCGACGAGAGAGACGGGACGTTGTGAGGGAACCAGAGAAACCAGATGGTGCATCCCTACCACGCTTCTGCGACGACTCGAGCCGCGACCCGGCGTCCCGACGTGCGGCATCGCCTACTACCGCGCCGCCGACCAATCCAATACTTCGTGGCTCCGCCCACCGGCTCGCCGATTGGACCGCGTTAAATTGATACCTATTTAACATTTGAGCAGAATGTTGCAGGCGATCGCCTTTTTCTCCTATATTATTTATTGCCCGATCGTCGTGCCTCCTTTTTTCTCTCCTACTCCCGGGTTCCTCCTCGTTTCTTCCTCCTCCCTCCTCCCTCCTCCTCCTCGACGCGGCTTCGTCTGCGCTCCTTCTCCTTCATCCTTCTTCCCCCCTACTGGACTCTCGTCTCTTCTTCCAGCGTGCACACAACCGTGTCCTCGTCTCGCTGCAGAAACGTGCCGCATCGAGTTGAAGAAGCGGAGGGACTTAATTACGACGAATATCCTTTTGGTCCCCACCACGTCCTCTTCTTCCCTCCTCACAACTCACCCCGTTTCTTCTTCTTCTTCTTCGTTCCTCTTTCTCCTCTTCGCTCTTCTTGCTCTCGTCCTTCTTCAGCTCCTCCACGGCTTTTATCGCGCTGTTGCGATGGAGTTGCCTTGACTTGTGCAGCTAGGTATGCGCAGCTCGCAGAATGCAGCCTGAAGCATCGAGCAAAAGATCAACCACGCCGATTCTCCCCTCGCTCCTTCGCCGACACGTTCGAACGAACGAGAAGCCGTTGCACAGACCCATGGCGAACTCACTTTCGTGTGTCTTCTCCGTATATCAGACCGCGAATCGGCTATTTGCACGCTTTTCAATTCCACCAATGATCCCTGTCCGATAAGACTCGACTACGTCGGAGATTCGTGATTAAACGCTCCCTGCGTTCATCGAGCGTGTTTCAGGAACGGATTCGTCGGCTGTTTGGTTTTTGCTGTGAGTTACAGGGTGGTTTTTTGGAGGAAAGGTCTTGGAAAAATTTGTGGCAGTTGATGTTTGGAGGATAGAGGTGAGAAGAACGATTGTTGAGAGGTTTCTGAAAAAGAAATGGAGGATATTGTTAATTGTACTTGTGAATAATTATTTCTTTCTTAACCTAAATTAAATATTGTAATTTTTTTCTAATATACTGTGGAGAGATCTTGTCTAATCGTCATCAAGGGAACCACTTCATAAATTATCATTTATACATTCGTTTCAATAAATAGAATCTTTAACTTCATTTCATTTCAGTGCTTTAAACATCGCGAAATTGATAGATATCGTTGAAGTATAAAGGGTAAATAAGTAAATATTAAGAATATCAATTGTTAGACAGCTCATAAAAAAATGGAAAATGTTATTAAATAAATAGGCGATCGATACCAAAAGTATGAAGATTATAAATGAAATTAAGAAAAGTGTCGAACAAAAGAAGAAATGTTTGTTATCGTTGCTACTTTTTTAAACTATCTACATAAAAAATGTTAAGATTTATTGATACATTCTTAATGATAATAACTGTAATTTAAATAGAATAACAGTATCTACGCTTTAAAAATTTCTTTAAACATTCTTTTAAAAAAGTGAGAAAGCACTTGTTTCACCATCGATCGGTAGTTTCTACAACTTGATAAAAGTGTTGGTGTCTCCCGTAGTCACAAGACGCGCGGCTGCCTTCTTTAATACAAGCCCATTTAAAATGGTGACCGTCTACAAACTCGCCCCGGCCATTTTCCTCGTCTTATCGAGCGACTTTATCACTTCGTAAGCTGAAGCGTGGCTTATTAAACTGTACCTTGTTTGTATCTTAAGGTAAACGCGTGGAAAATTGAAAGCAAAATGGAAGAATACGACGCGGCAGCGTAAAAATTCAATGAATAATAAAAAAAGATCTCTCAAAATTCGCGAAAAATCCTACAACTACAAACGGTTTATTTTAAACTTATTTTACACTCAGTTTCACTTTGAATATTTAATATCACAAAGTACAGTTTCTCGAACCAAAGGTAAAAGCTATTTGAAACATTTTAAAGTGTGAATATTGCATTTCGGAAGGAAACTTTCTTATTACGTTATTTTTTCAAACAACATAAGACATAAATAAAAACATAAAACTGTGCTATTGCTACAAGATACTTTCTAACGAATAACAAGCAAAATAAACGTAATAATACAAATTAAAATTAACGATACAAGTAAATATTCCAGTATCATTTTTCGTATATTAAAACTCCACATGAAACGACACGAAATTTCACCTATTTAAACGAGTATGTAGAAATCCAACAACTAGACAAAATAAAATAGCAGAAATTTTGCAATTTTCCGCTTCAATCAAGCGTAAATTTTTAGCAAGAAGGGTTAATCCAACGATGTCCATTAGCAAATCAAATAGTTTGGCACGGTTTCACACCGAGCTAACATAACACGTCGATTGTCGAACGAGCAAAATACACGCAGAGAATACATTTCGTTGCGCAAGAATACTTCGATCGGCAATTCATTTGAGGATAATCCACATCCAGTTGGTGTACTGTTGCGCAATGAATATTGCGGTACCGACGGTAATGGCAACAAAATAATTTGCTGCACACGTAGTGGCGAAACGTCGACTTAAACCTTGCCTTCTTGCCTTTTGCATTGCGCCCCTCTCTTTCATAATGGCCGAGGCCAAGTATTATTACGCAGTTCCAACGCGTGTCTACCATTCAAAGTATTTCATATTGCTCACGGTATATCATTTCGTGTACATTGAGTCTTTCGTTTAGTGATTACATAAAAAATTCTAGATAGTAAATAGTAGTGTGAATAGAGAAAGATACCTTTTACCTAAGATATGGAAATAGAAGACTTACAAATTTTTTATTATATTTTGCGTAATTTAATTTATATTAAAATTTTCTACCTAATCACCGTCAATATGAAAATATACTTTCTAGAAAAATATTTACAGAATAATTATAGAATTGTAATCCTTATTGTATACAGAACTTCTATCTCACAATCAGAAAGCTGTATAAAAGGGAAGAAGAAAGTAGTCTCGCTGCAAATGCGACTAAAACACCGGAGCACCGCTAATGCTGTTTCGTTGAGTGCTTTATTAGCCCTCGAGAGTGTAGATCGCGAAGAGAGAGCAGAAAATTACAGGCAAACAAGCAGTTCGATTTACATTGATCCATGCGTTCAGAAATTAATGGAGGTTCCGTGGGCGGTCGCGAATTATGCAAGAAAACCAGCTTTACACTCCCGCCGATATCTTCTGTAAAATCCAACTTGCATCCCTTTCGAGTCTCTCCGCTCGATGCGTTCCGATCGAGGATCAATTTGAATGTCAGACGTCCGCGTGTCACTTAGGCGGTTTTCACTGGGGGCTCAAATAATTCATTCCGCCCTTTTGGAAACGCTTACAAATCCCGCGATAGTGTCGCGACAGAGAGAGAAAGAGAGAGAACAGAGGGCGGTGAAAAGGTTTCGGCAGGGTGGAAAGGAAAAGAGGGGAAGAGAGGGAAATCAAGGGGTTTGACCGGTCTGTCCTGTTGCAGGATGAAAGACGCGACGACGTGGAAAACCAGCTGTATGCGTGCCCTCCCGAAAAAGGTTATCCTTTATTCACGACACCCCGAGTTTTAAGCCCGGAAACGTGGGAGTGATTCGCGAAATAATCAGACCGTTCCGTGTTTTCGAACGGAGTACAATGAACGAATGCTAGATTGGCTGCCGAGGAAGAATCGTATTGCGATAAAGTTTTATTAGACAGTTTGAAATAGTAGAAATAATAACTGATTGGTCAGATTTTTTGAGAAATATGAATTTTGGAATTAAAAAATAACAAATTTTTCAAGTAACGTCTTTAACTTGGCGACTTCAACTTGTTATCATAAAATGAAAGATAGAATTGAAATAATTTTTTCACTATTTTATTATTGCTATTAGTGTCCAAAAGGTACGTAAAATTTTATATTAAACAAGATGTTTGAAAAATTTATCTCTTTTCAGTATGAATTTTCTTGAAAATAAATTTTTTCCCCTCAATTTTGGTGTAAATCAAATAAATTGTATAGTTAAGTATACAAAAATTTTCTAACAGCTTCTTCGTCAAAATTAACCAGCAAATTAATACATAAAAATTACACTTATTTATCAGAGTCTCGGAGTGGTATGTTTATAATATTGGAAGTATTTCCTTTAAAAAATGATTCTTCTATT